CAAGCAATGGATGCCGGGCAAGGTGGGACATGCCTGTAATGCCAGCACTTGGGAGGCTGAGGCAGGAGGATCATTGCAAGTTCGAGACGAGCCTGGGCTATACAGTGATCTCAAGACCATCCTGAACTGCATAGCGAGACCCTGTCTCAAAAAGACAAAAAACAACAACAACAACAACAACAACAACAAAAAACAAGCAGTGGGTGTATGTAGCTCAAGGGTAGACAGCACCAGCTGATCAGATCAGAGGACCTGGGTTCGTTCCCTAGAAAACATACAAAAGACTTTTGTATTCTTAAAATAAGTTGATGAATATGCTTAATTCAGCCTTGAGCCGGTACAAGTTTGACCTTATTTCTGCCATAAATATTTGATAGAAGCAAGAGAGGAGACCACCTCAGAGTGAAGCTGGACAACTGTGGGTTAACTGCACAGCCCGGCTCCCTGAGAAACCGCGGCTAAGCTCCCTTAGGAAACTGGTGGCTGTGCCCCTGGCCAAGTACGGGAAGTCTGTGAGGTAAGCGTGGGTGGAGCATGACGGAGGCGGGAAGCCCGATCTGAGTTCCCCGCACCTTGATGACAGTTCAGTCCCAGTCATCACTGCTTCTGCTTCTGTAACTTCACTGCGTGCTGATTCCAGTGAAGAACTGCCCTGTAAGGTAGAAACAACATCAAAGTGGAAACAGGGCTTTGTTCTCCGTGCTCAGGTGGACACCAGCCCTCTGGAGGGATTCTGGCAAATAAACTGCTCTTGGCTCCTGAAACGCCATGTCTTGTGGGTTCTGTCGGGATCCTTTGCAGTCTCCTGCTTCAGAAGTTGCTCATGAAGCTGTACAGGCCTGGAATGTGCTTTAATATATTTAACTAGCATACCGTGTTGGATTGTTTTGGTTTTGTTTTGTCCTGTTTTGTTTTGTTTGAGACAGGGTCTTGCTGTGGAGTTCAGGCTGGCCTTGAACTCACTATGGAGCCCAGCCTGGCCTGGAACTTGCAACCATCCTCCTGCCTCAGCCTCCCCTGGGGTGAGGGATGAATTCACTTAACGTGTTTGCTGGGCGTGGTGGCACACGCCTGTAATCCCAGCACTTGGGAGGCTGGGGTAGGAGGATCGTTGCGAGTTCAGGACCAGCCTGGGTTACAAAGTGAGCTCAAGGCCGGCCTGAAATGCACAGTGAGACCCTGTCTCAAAAAGACAAAAAAAGGAAAAAACAAAAATGTGTAATGCCCACTTAGAGCACATGATTAAATTGTTTCTCGTGTATTCATGAGACTTGTGCGATAGGTGTTCAGTCATGCTCATCTCCCTTCATGGGCAGTCATCTTTCCTCCATCCACTGCCCTCCCCAGGCCTCGGCAGCTCCTGAGCTGCCTGTTCTGGACCTTTCATAGAGGTGAAATCATTGCATATGAGGGCTTCGGTGTCTGCTTTCTTTCATCAGTTACTGTTTCCATGCTGAACATTGAACAGTACCCCGTTCCTGTTTAGGCTGAATAATAACCACTTTGTTGGTCCATTCATCAGTTTGTGAGCATTTAGGTGCTTCTACTTTTTGACTTTTTTTTTTAGGGTTTTTATTTTGTTGTTCTTGGTGGTGATGTTGGTTTACCTGGGAATTGAACCCAGGTCCTTTGCACTGAGCTACATCTCAAGCCCTATTTTATTTTATTTTTTTTAAATTTTGAGACAGGAACTTACTAAGTCACCAAATTTCCCAGACTAAACTCAAACTTGTAATTCTCCTGCCTCAGCCTCCCAGAATATAGGAATGACAGGCGCTTGCTACCCCTCCCAGCTGTGACTGCTAATAGCACTGCTGTGGATTTCATGCACACGTTCCTGTGTGGCACTTGTTTCTGTCCCTCTTGAGACTGTCCCTAGGAGCACTCACTGGCCCAGTGGGAGGCCCCCGCGCGGCCACCTTTCGAGGGACTTTCCGGTCATTTTCAAGGACGACTGAGCGCGGCGCGATCGCAGTAGCAGACGTGAGGGCTCTAATTTATCTCCGTCCTGGTCAGCAGTTCTCCTCGCCTAGCTTTCCTCGTGGGTGTGGAGTGACGCATCCCTGTGGTTTTGACTTGCATTTCTCTGCTGGCTGAGGACGAGCGCTCTGCCACGCGCTTATTAGTCAGTGTCTTTCTCTTCGCTTTTTTGGCACTGGGGGTTGGACTGAGGGCCTCATGCGTGCTGTGCACGCGCCCTACCACTGAGCTGCTCCGCACCCCCCTGCTGCAGTTCATAATTTCGGTGAGTGTAACTTTCAGTTCCAGCATTTACTTCTTTTACCATTTTTACTGTCTTTTTCAGTGCTGGAGATTGAACCCAGGGCTTGTGCATGCTGGCCAGGCTCTCCACAGCCCCACAATTTACATGTTCTTCTGTTTAATTCACTACATTATTTTTATTATTTACGCATTTATTTATCTCAGTGCTGGAAGTTGAATCCAGAGATCTGCACATGCTAAGTATGATCCCACCCAGTGAGCTACACCCTCAGCCCCTTTATCATTTAAAAAAATTTCTTGTTCCCAGCTAATTTTCCAATCTTAGCTCTTAGTCGTTGAGTATAATAAGCGTCTTGTTCTGAAGCCTGTGCTGACCGTTCCAGTATGTGGAGACCTGGCGAGTCGGCCTCTCTGACCCCTTGCCTCCGCTGTTCTTACACTGCCTTATGTCCCTAAGTGACTTTTTGTGCGCTGGGCACTGAGTTGTGTGTGTTTTTGTGGTGCTGGTGAAACTCAGGGCCTTACAGATGCTAGGCAAGGGCTCCACCACAGAGCTACAGGCCGAGACATTGTTTTTGAAAAATTATTTATAGAAATCCTTTGAGCCAGGCAGTGCTGTCTTCCTCTACAGTGACCCTTTCATTATTTTTTCAGACAACTGAAGGCAGCAATCAGGAGTTGCCTTAAGTCAAGCCCAGGGCCGAGGTCCCTTGGTCCCCAGT